GATCTAACACTGGGCAATGGAACAGGAATGACTGTAGGAAGCTGAGCGGAATGGGGACACCTGAAGGACAGAAAAGGCCAAGACAGAGACAGGCTTCTCTCACCACTTTCTCAAGGTGGCACTTGGGAGTCTGGACCACCAGCTTCACAGAAACTCACATTTCAATTGACTTGGCCTTTTTGCTCCTTCATTTTCGCCAGCTCAAGTGTATTTGTGACCAGTACAGAGAGTTTGAAGATGCTGAGACAAAAGGAATTAAGAGAAATGCAGGGTCCTTGGGGTCCTGTAGGTATTTTCTTCCAAAGCTGCAGGATATGAGTGGGACAAAGAATAGATAGAGAGAGAGAGACAGAGAGAGACAGAGAGAGAGAGAGAGAGGCCTGAAACAACTATTTCTGGCAGTTGTGCTAGCAGCTGGGAATACTTAGGGGCTCATTGAGAAGCAGTGATCTGAGCACATGCCACAGATGACAGTCACCTGATGGCTGCCTGTTACACTGGTACGACCAGAGGCCAACAGCATTAGTAACTGTTCTTTAAATAGCCTGTTAGAAACTAGGGACACAAGGACGGATATGGACGGATGCATGAACATACATACACATACATATATATACACACACACACACACACACACACTCTCTCTCTCTCTCTCTGATATCTACTTGGAGGCCCTCTTTCTTTCAGGAGGGCAAGAACAAAGTGAGGGTCACTGATTGGACTCCTTCAGCTTTCTTGCAAATAATGGCTACTACAATTTCCCATTGGTTTCAGCACTCCCATGGCAGCTTACTCTACTTAGCCATGAGCCGGTCAGTCCCATGAGCAGACATCGGTGCCAATAGCTGCTTGGAGCTTCCTACTTTGTGCCCTTAGAGAGAAAGGGGGACTGATTCTACGTCAAAGCAGGAGGTAGGGAGAGAAAGTTTCATGCTCAGAAGGATCTGGGAGGCCAATCTTCACCTCTGCTTTAAGGAAAGTGAAGGAAGTGGTTGTCTTATAGCACCAGTGAGGTAAAGGACCTGCGTCCCCTATGCCCTCAAGAACTTGAGCTACGCTGACCACAGGGGAAGCCCTCTGGAGTTGGCTGCTGTCCATACAGAATTCCTCCTATTGCCCAAAGTGCAGCCCACTTGGCAGGTCTCTTGGCATGGCAATCCAGGCACTTAAAGGCATTTTTGGACATATTCAAAGGCTAGGTTAATGATCATCTCTCCAGGGAGTGGCAATAAAGAGAGAAGAAGCATGAGCAAGGCTGAAGGGGATCCACCATAGGGTATGGCGAAGGGGAAAGGTGGGCAGTCAGCATTTGCTCCCTAAACAGATTACAGCCAGCATAGTCCGTAAGCTCTAATTCATAGCCAAGGACCCTAGAATGAGGGTTTTTGGGGACAAACAAGAAGACCAAGTAGGCTTAATCAATTATGAGGAAGCATGGCTGAGGGAGTGGCATCAGACAACAAGCACCTCAAAGCCACAATCCTACTGAGAGACACTCCAACCCCGTGCCAAACAGAAACGACACAGGCCAAAGAAATAGCAAGGTTTTGGCTCCTGTGGCCAGCTGCTCCTGCTCTATTCTTCTTCTTGGATCAGAGCACATCCTTTGGTGTAATGGGTCTGTGCAGGGTACTGGATTGGGATGGAGCTCTGTTCCCAGGCTCCCAACAGGGTAGCACTGGTCTCCAAACACCCACAGACCTTACTTCAGCTTTCTGGCTGGGCCCTGGAGATCGCCCCAGGCTCCCAGAGGCCACTATGAACAAGAACGAGCTTTAGCTGGTAGGGGTTGGGAGAGGCTAAGCAGCTATTTATCTAAGGGTGTTTTCCTCCATGTCAGACAAGGAAGGAGGACAGGCACTGGTCAAACCAGCCCCTGTAATTGAGGCTTGAACGACTGGAATTCAAACCTCGGTCCCAAGATAGAAGACTTCTTTGTGGCAGCTAGAAGGATAAGATGTCATCTATCCCTTTCTCTTTATGAGAGCACAGACTGTGAGGAAGGATGACAGGTTCTCAGCAATGAGAACAGAAGAGCTGAGAGCTGCTGGAAGGCTGGGCAGAGCCATTTTGACTCAGGTACTCAAAGAGTCATGAGCCTGCCTTAGTCTTTTTTTTTCCCAAAGGCTTAATCACTCTTCACCAGAGGATCAACACTAACAGGATGCCTAAAAGAGCATGTTCTCGGAAGAACTGGATCCTTTCTCTCCCCACTGCTCACTGGAATTCAACGATCCGTGTGCAGAATTCTCTTGTTCACTTCCAATGGTTTACTTCTGGGGAAAGAATTCTACTCCTACTCCACGAATGGGACCAAGGGGAGAGAACCCAGTGCAGCTAATGCTAGGATGCTTAAGTGTAGTTCTGCCAGTTGGAGGCTACAAGGTGATGTCCACGGACAAAGGAACGTGACAGCAGTGTCCAGTTTGTGACCTTTGGTCACAAACATACCCACATCCTCGAACGACTACCAGGTTGCTTCAGTACCATGGCCTAACGTTTATCCTCACCAACCAATCCCATCACTCTGGGCTCCCATTAGTGGAGTAGGAGTGGAATTCTTCCCCTAGAAGTAAACCTTTGGAAGTGGAAAAGGGAATGCTATTCATGGATTGCTGAATTTCATCACTCATGGTATAAGGGCTAGGAGGGAAAGGGTCTAGATCTCCCAGCTAGGGAGGGGCAGAGCCAAGCAGCTAAGTGCCCCATCAACTCCCCATGTGACCCAGGAGGAAAAGGATGGCTGAGACCAGACAAACTTGTTTTGTGAGTGAGATATGGGGCAGTCCGATGTGGAGAGTGGGTAGAAGGCAGCATCTCTGGTGTTTCCGAGCAGTGTGGAGGCGCTGAGTTAACTCACTCCAACCTCTGTCTTCCTCAGTACAGCCTAGAAGGAAGAGAGGTGCAGCATGGCAACACAGACTTTCCTGCAGGAGATGCACTCGATGGGCCAGAAGCTCCTCCTAAAGTTACGGCAGCTGCCTCAGGCTGAGCCGGTTGAGATTGTAGCCTTCTCTGTCATTCTATTCTTCATTGGTAAGTTGGGGGACTTCAGGTTTCTTCTGCATCCAGATCTCCTCCTAGGATCGGGAAGTGGATAGCCTGAAAATGGGCCCCAGGGTGGCACAATCTCTATTCTCTACCAAGGGTAGATTTCGGGGTGGAGGTTGCACAGTGACTTCCTTCAGGGCTGGATCTTCCAGAATGAAGTTAGCTCAGGGGAAATGAACTTGATAATCAAGCAGTAGGAGAGGTGAAGGTGGTCAGTCTGCCAGCAGTAGAGGAGTGGTAGTTTGGGGCAAGAGTTAGGAGTAGGGAGACAGCTCTAAGGAAAGAGTTCAGGGGTATATGGGAGGAGGAAAGGAGGTAGGAGGGATGTTAACAGGACGGATCTGGAACTAACTTTATTAGATTCTCCAGCTTATGATTGGGAAAACAGGAGGAAGGGGAGAAAATAAGCATTTATACAGAGCTTACTGTGTGCTAAGTGCTTTACAAATATTATTATCTCATTTGATCCTCACAACAACTCGTTATCATCCCTATTTTACAGTTTACAGTTGAGAAATGGAGGCAAATAGGCTGAGTGACTTGCCCAGGGTCACACAGCTACTAAGGATCTGAGGACAGATTTGAATTTAGATCTTCCTGACTCCAAGCCCAACGCTCTATCCATTGTGTCATCCTTATGACATCTCACCCAGACCCTTGAGGAGAGTTAGTACCCACCCTAGAAGCTTCTCTAGGAGCAAGGAACTCAAACAGAGATCTATTTGCCCTATCAAACATGAGCTATGCCTCACAGCTCTAGTGCGGAAATGAATAAATGTGTCAAAGAAACGTTCCTTAGGAGCCAGAGAACTCTGGCCTGGCCTGGCCTGGCTCCAAGGACCTCGAACCAGACAGAGTCAAATGCCCTGCCTTGCCCTTGCCCTAGGGTGGCTCCCCGAAGTTTAGACTTTCCTTCCAGATGACTTGGGATGATCTGAGACTTGGCCAATTTCCCCTGGTTTATCTTTTCAGAAAAATCAATGAATACAGATTTCCTCTTCTCTTCTCCCCTCCTCCTGTCCCTTTACCTTAGCTACTGTGCTGCTGCTATTGGCAATAGCCTGCAGCTGCTGCTGTGCTCAATGCTGCTGCCCTGACCAGAGAAGCCGGAAGACTCAGGTCCAGCCCATGAGACCACCACGAGAGACAGGGTGAGGACAGAAGGAAAGCCAGAGAGGAGGCTGCCGAACCCTGCCAAGGAATTCTAGCCACGGCCTGCAGTCCACAGCATTCAAGAAAGGGTGCAGAAAGAGAGATCTGTTTTTCTGGGAGAACTTAGAACAGGCTGGGCTGTGGCCACATAGGTAACTGGTCCTAGTTCTGCCTCTGAGAAAGTGCCTAGACACTGGGAACTGAGGCTTGATGTGAGAAGTGGGAAGCCAGGAGGCTCAGATGAACCTTTTGGTGAACAAGAGATACCAAAGATAAGCCAACTGTGCCAGAGACTATGGACACTTTCTTCATTCCCTTCTTGGTCTGTGCCTTACCACAAAAAAAGGGAAGTAGGCCTGTTCCCAGGCCCCTGAGAAGGGCAATCTCATTCTTAGCCAGCTGCCATGAGAGGACTAAACTAATCTATGCCAAAGAAGATGCCAGACTGTATGATAATTAGTATGTCCCAAAACCCATGTAAATGAGAAAATACATTGAGCCTTTATTCCAGAATGTGCTTTTTTCTTTCCAAGTAAAAGGGCCATTAAGGTACCAGTGACCCTGGAGTTTGGGGCTGGTTTATTAGTAGGGGAGAAGGAGGCTAACAGGCCTCAAGGGAGTGATTGGTACCTGCCTTCTCTATCCCTCTCTTATGCAAGTGCTCATGAAGGTCACCCAAAGAGAAGTGACTTGAAGAGTAATGAGAAGAGCTGATGGAGAAACCAGGCTGAGGGTTGGGATGAATAAACGTGGAGAAATCTGTTAAACGGTAAAAAGGCAACAAAACTCAGGTCAAATACAACAGAAGATACTGTCACCAAATTATTAAAATAGATATCCTTTTTGTTATTGAATGGTAAATACAAAAGTGGAAAATGATAGTCAATCATTCCACAGAGTGGTTTTGTCCAAATGTTTTCAGGGGAATGTACTTTGTGAGGGACTGGATCGGCTGTCTGCTGTGTCAAAGCCAAATGTCCCAGTGTAACACAATATCCATTAAAACAACGATCGCTGGAGAAGGAGTCCAGACAAAGGGTGGCTCAGAGGCATTTAGCCAGAACCAGGGTTTCTATGGAACTCCTACTCATCTCCTATTTTCCTTCAACCATAAGGCAGGAAGGGAGCAACAAACACATCTTTCCCAAATTTTAAGATGAAGGAAAGTTTCGATGGCTTCTTGTTGTTCCTGGCCCCCCTGCTTTAGCCCTGAGCTCGTAGAAGCCAGTTTCAGAACTGGCCTAAGGTGTGGCAAACTGCTTTGCCCCTGACCCCAGATAGTTTTTGGTTCCTGTTCCAAGGGATCTTTTCAGGTGGAAAGAGATATAAACCCAGGAATGGAGGTAGAAGGAAGAAAAGGTTTCCATAAACGGCAGAGCTGCCGAGAGCAACATCCTCACTGTGATTTCTCATTCTCCTAAGTCAATAATTACCCAGAGCCGTCAAGTGGAAAATATTTCTAGTTCTGTTCCTTTTCTGTGCCTCCCAGTAACTCTTCTGGCTACCTGAAAACGAAGACTTGACCCCACAGAGCTCTGCCGCCTGTCCCCATTGCCTGTTTAGTCCAGGAACCTGGCTGAGTTCACCAGGCCAGGAAGGGCAGGCATTGCTTGCTGGTTTTACTTCCTGATTTTCATGCACTGGTTGGACAGGTTAGGGCTAAAGACAAAGGGAGGAACTATTTGCATCTTACACAAATATTTCCCTGCCCCTTCCCCTGCTGACAGCTCCATAAAAAATTTTAAAAGCAGTGCAAGAATCCAATAGGGTTTGGCAATAAATGCTACAGACAACTGTGTGCTTGGAGGAAGGAGGGGCACAGTAGTACTTTCTGAGTCAACTGTTAAATTCACCACACCTGAATATACATATGGGCTCAGCCTCCTAATCTCAAGCCCTACACTTCAATCCAGTTATGGGATTCCAACTTAAAACACAGGCCCAGGATCTGGTTTCATTATCTCCATCAAAGTCAACCAGTTCCCACCCCAAACACACACACACTCCCAACTCTTTCTCAAAATAACCTCCATGTGAATGGATAGGACTCAAAAGGGTAAAATTTCCTTCCTTCTCAGAAAGAAAACAGCACAGGTAGGCAAATAGGGAAGGAGTCCTATCTTCTACAAAAAGAGTAGGGAGAAGCAATGCAAGGTGGTGGTGATGAGATTAGACTCAATCTCATCTTGGATTTTCTCTAATGTTGCTGCTGCCCTAAATACTGCCACACACGAGTCCTTCCTCAGCACTAGGGACGGTCTCTTCCTGTCAGGATAGTAAAATGAAGTTCTACTGCTAAAACTAGTCTAACTTGTAGGGCTGTTGACCACCTCTTCCCAAATACTGGAAGTAAGAGTCCTGCCCACACAGGACAGGCAGATGTCTCCCACTCTACCCTAAGGGCAAAGGAAGACTGCTCACTCAGTTATTTGTAATGGCAATGTCCTGGCTGGCTGTCACATTTCACAAGGCTCTGAAAGAGCTCCAGGTTCATTTAAATTGCATCCAGATCGGTGAACTTGGTTTGAGCCAACATGGTAGCAGCCTGTCAAGCGACTGAAACCAGCAGCTTCCTTTTGAATTCCGGGAAAGCAGGCAAATGGATTGTTTTTAAAGGAAAAGATGAACATGGAGAACGAAGACAAGGCAGTAACCCTGAAGACCTAATCTCTACAAAAAGCAAGCAGCAACAGGCTGCAAACATATCAAGGGCTAATCCTAGTCAAGATGGATGATGTTTGGTGAAGAGGGTACACACAGGATGTTCTTGAGGGCTAACCCGAGTGGACATCCCTAGTCCACACTGATCTAGCTATTTTCATTTTCTTGATCACATCATCAGAGAGATATGGGAACTTGTCCTAGAAGAAAGCAGAGGCAACTGGGGAAACGTTGTCTTGCCCAGAAAAATGAGGCATAAGGTTTCTGTTGTGATAAGAATCCTTTCTTCTCTCGGAAACTAGTACCAGGAGGGACTGGCCAAGATTATAGTTAATCATTCACCCCAGCACTGAAAGGACATTTTCAAAAAGGTTTGGGCAGAACTGGCTCCAGACTTCTCCTGTGCTCTAGAGCAGGTCATCTAGATCACCTAGACAGCCATCACCAGGTAAGAACCTGGGCTAGCCCTAGGGCATGTTAACTGGGGGAAATCCTACCATACAGGGTCCTCCCTTCACTTCCAATGTTGTCATATAGGAGTGATTTGTCTAAAATGAACATGAAGGACAATCTTCCAGGGGTAATAAGAGATGTCACAAAGGGGCAGCACGCAACCTGAAGGGTGAACGTGGAGGGTCGAAGGGAAATTGTTGTTGTTGCCAGGTAGCCATGCCCAGTCCTGCCTTGTTGCCTTGGTAATGACGGTGAGGGAGTAGTTATTGAAGGATCTGGTTCTTCTTTCTAGCACTGACTAGAGATAACAGTGCTTTCCACCTGCTGTCTCCTCACGTCTCAGAACAGCTCCAGCTGGCTTATTTGTGCAGTGGCTTGAGGTCTAGACTAACCATTCCAATTTGCCGTAGATGGGGGAGACAGAGCACAACACTGACAACAGAATTAGGTAACAATTACTCCATTTTCACTGACAAAATCAGCCAGTTTTCCAGGTCCTAACCCTGTGGCTATCAGCTTCCTTCCCAACGGGCTCCATGGCAGGGGTGCTTACTCTTCTAATCACCTCCTGGAATCTCCTTTTAGACCTCAGTCCCAGGAAGATGGTTCTGAAGATACTGCCCCAGTCTTTGTCCTCAGACACATCCCCTCAAAATCCTCCACATGACCTGGCAACTAGGACAGGGATTATATGGGGTGAAAGGCACGTAGTGGCACTTGGGCTTCAGCTGGGAAGAACTCAAGAAAGGGGTTAGGATTGGGGCATCTTCTTCCATTTCTGTTTAATACAAGGAGGTGGGGCTAGAAAGGAGGTAGAGTGACACAGTCTGTTTTAAGATATTCCCAGCTTTCGGTATTAATGTTCCCTCAGCTGCCTGATGAAAGGGGTCATTTCCTCTCATGTCCGATGACCCAAATAGGCCAAAAGTACACCTAAATGATAAAGAAAGGAAGCATAATAGGAGAGGTACAGAAGCCAGGTTCTTTGCCACAGATTATCCTTTATCCACCTACCTGTGCTTTCTCTTCCAGATAAATGGACATACCTGTCACAAATATGACAGAAGAATTTGTCCAGAGACAGAATGAATTCTCTAAAACAAAGGACCAAAGTGATCCCTGGTCCTTTGGGCCCCTGGTGGTGATGTGCCTGTTCTACACCACAATTATTGCTCTCCTCCTCTTTGTTGTTCTTTTTAACTACTTCTACTCAGAGATAACTTCCAAACCTACTTCTCAAAAAAGCCAAGAGATTTAACTTGGAAGAGAAGAGATGGGAAAGGAAACTGGTCTGCCAATCCCTGCCAGGAAGCCATCACCTCTGTCCAAAGCCAAGTTTTCTGTCAATGACCTCCACAGAAGGTCCTGGGAGATTCTGGAATAACATAATTTGCAGAGATCATTTTTGGAGGGCTGGACAAGATGGAGAGAGTGGAGACTGTTCTGAGACAAATGTCCATGTCCCATGGGGTCCATTCTATAGCCTTATGTCCTCCTGCTGCTCCAGGATAAGTTCTTTGGTACCTTCACCAGAGATGTGGGGAGAGGATCAGGGAAGAAGAAAAGAACTGTGGGAAAAATCACATTTGGCAAACTTCTCCACCCTAGCTGAAAAGTCCAGTCTTCCCCCCCCCCCCCTGCCAAAGTGCTAGTGTTTCCCAACTGGAAACTAAATAGTGTTCGTTACAATGGTATCAAATAAAAAGCCCCATCATGAATAATCAATGTTTCCATCCTCTGTCTGCAGCCTAGAGTCCAAGAAAGACAAGAAAACCATTAATTGTCTCCATTCCAGTCTCCACCCTGAGTGTCTCCTCTTACCACACGTCTCTAAGGTTTGAGCTGCCACTTATGGATTCCCATTTCCCCTATGCAACTCTAATTTAACCATGAAGGCTACCATAGCAGAAAGATCCTCATCATGTTTTAACGTACATCAACTGATTCTTGATTCTAGGTGTCCAGAGTCCAATGATGTTCTTTTTTTCAGAAAAACAGATATTCTGAATTTGTTTAATATTTTTTAAAGCAAATACTCAACCCATCACCATCTTATAATAATTCCAGTAAGAAATTTTCTCCTGAATAAATAGGTGAGAAATAACATAAATCTAGAATCTATATACAGTCAATATCTGTTTAAAAATAATAATGTGATATCAATATCTCTCTAAAAATAATAGTGATATAAAAATAGTAAGAGCATATCCTTATAAAAGGAAAACAGTTACTTCTTGGTTAAAAGAAGAGATTTTAAAAATTATACCCTGCTGAAACAGTAAAAGAGAAATTAATTATCATCCATTTATACTCATTCTGTGTATTGTCTCTTGTGACGTGCTTAATGTATCCCTACTCTACCTAACTGCTTCCTGCGTCATTCATTTTCTCATATGCCTATCATACCTCTATCCCAAAAATTCCTTTTTAAAGGATTATTTTTTTAAGGAAACAGCCAAGGCAACTTCAGCTTAAAACGGGTGAGCTGTTTTAGGAAACACAGGTGTTAATAGAACATTTTTTCCTTCACACTGTACACTGTTTAATTAAGAAAGGCTTCTCTTAACTCTAAAGAGCTACTCAAGACATAGGGGGCCAAGAGAGTTCCCCATTCTGACCCTCCGAGTCCTAGGCCAGACTCAGTGCTTTTCAGACTAGGAGCTTCCTCCCAGGGACAAGATGGGCAAGAAATTCAAAGAGACTGAAGTCAGGGAGGGGGATGTGGGGGTGGAAGTGGGGAGAAAAAAGAGTCCACAGACAGACATGCCCACTGAGGCAAGCAGAAGAATATGCCAAAGGCAGTTATAGGACCCATGTGTCCCCGGTTCCATAAAGGAAGCACAGCCGCAGGTTCCCTGGGTAGTCCCTTCTGTAGGGTCTCTATGTTCGTGGCAAGGAGCTGACATCACATGGAACCCCTGCGGAGAACTTGGCCCCACCCCCACTCAGAGAAGCACCCAGAGTTATTTCTAGGAAGCAGGACCAAAGCCCAAAGCGGGTTTGACAATTAGCAAGAACACTCGGCTCTTTTCATCTCTCGGCAGAAATGAAAGCCTTTCCCAGACAGCCTCAAAAGACACAGTTTAGCAGCTCCCCGCAATCCCTGGCACTGAGGGCACAGGACAACACTGGCTGTGGGTAAGGGTAGTTACTGAACTCCAGCCCACTAGTCCTGCCTGTTGGGTGTGGCTCATAATCTGGCCAGGTCAAATTACGGAGTAGGATATTACTTCAGTCTGGCGCCACCTTCTCATTACAGAAGATCAGAGTAATAAGGGTAAGAACAGAGGAGGGAGAGGGGATGACTAGAGCCCCCTGGGGGATGTGAATGACCAGTTACAAGTATCCCCTCCTTTCCATCCCCACTGCCACAAGCCTGGCTAGTACAGGCTCTTGTGACCTCTCCAAGACCGCTGCATCAGCCCCCTAACTGGCCGGCTTGCTTCTAGCATCTCCCCTCCCCCCTGCCAGTGGAATTGTCCAAAACACACATTTTACACAAGATCAGCTCTAGCTTCCATAACAGAGTATTGAAGAAGCGGGGCCTTCCACCACTCCCTTAATGCCCTCTCTTGAGCAGTAATCCATGTCCTATGCAGACCCAGCCTGAACTTCAGCCCCCAGACTCTTCTCTGTCTTGGACCCTGCCCCATCCCATCCCCACGCTGGTAAGTGGCTGTGAGCCATATCAGTTACATACATTTCCCCTCCTTTCTATTCCCATTGCCACCACCCTTGGTCAGCTCCCGTAGCAGTCACCCTCTACCTTGGCCTCCCTGATCTCGTGGCTCCTCTGCCCGATGCTCTCAACACTGCTGCCTGACTAAGCTTCCCAGGAAGCAGCTTTCACCACATTACTCTCCTGCTATTTTTGCCTGGCGTATTCAAGGCCCTCCACAATTTGGCTTCAACCTTTGTTATCTTCCACTCCTCCCTTTACCAACCCTACTCCTTATTCTCAGAGTACAACCCACACTTTCTAGCTTCTACATCCACACCATTTATCTGACTGGAGAAAGGGCCTGTTTCCCAATTCCTATCTGTTTAAATCCTACCCATCCTTCCTGCACCACTTCAAATGAAACATTTTCCATGAAGCCCTTCTTAATTCCCATCAGACAGAAGAGATCCCTCCCCAAGCCAGTTTTATATGTCTCTTCTTTCAGACTAAATTGTTAGGTCTCTGAGGGTAAAAGAGAATGTTTTTTTCATCTCCATATCATCCTCAGCACTTAGCATAGTGGCTTTTTGAAAAAAGGTGTTCAAAAAAGGATGACTACGAAATTAATTTGAATTGAAAAAGTTAATTTGCTTCTTTGTTGTAACAGCCAATTTCCCCAAACTAAGTCACCAGCAGCCCAAAAGATGAGCTGGGTCAGGTGCTGAGGATTACTTGGGTCTTAAAGTAGCTGCTGTCCTGGAATAAAAACAGAGAAGGTAGCCCAGCGCCATATAATAAACACAATGGCTCTGCTTAGAAATGACCACATTGTGCAAGATTGAATCAGGAAGAGACGGGCCAATGAATTAAGATATGGATGGTTTCCCTAATGCAGGCTGGGCTAATTCCCACACAGTCGAGTTTTGTGGGGCTCAAGCCACCCTGCTGTACTCTCTTTTCCACTGAAAAAGCTGCCCAAAGGCAGACTGGGGAGAAGCAGAACCAACTGCCTTCCTTCAGAAGTCCCACCTTGATGGAACAGAGTTGCTTTTTGTGACCTTTTAACATTAACAGTACTTCAGAGGAGGGAAACGCTCAAGCCAACATTTCATTCAATTCCAAACAAGAAATGACACTTACCCAAGCTTCTCACAGAAGTCCACCAGGGCCTCGAAGGCTGTCATGCTGGCTTTATCAGAGTCCTTGTTCCCTCTCTTTTCCTAGAAGTAATCAAAGGCCATTGAAACAAAAACTGTTCCTAGCCCACTACGAGTTCTACCATCTTTCCACCTGCCCTATGCAGGTACACAAGGCAGGAGCAGGCCCTGAGGCTTTCAAACTCCATTTCTGATGTTTTTTCCACATAGTGTTAAGACATGGAATTGCACAAAATTCTTCACAAAGCTGACCGTTTTTAAGGGTCACGTTTATTTTGGTCCACTTTAATATTTTCAATTATTCATGAAACAAAATATGATTATTAACCACTTCAACGACATCAGATGACTCCACATTCTTCCTATAACTTTTGTACTCTATTCTTTTCACAAAAGAGAAGAGAACAGACTCCACAAACTATAAACTTAGATTCTTGGCAAAGCTGTAGAATGTCTCACGAAAAGAATAGACTGAGCAGGTTTAGAGAAGGAAGCCACAATCACCAAGAGCCACATTGGCTACACCAAAAACAATCATGCCAGACTGACTTCAAGTCATCAGACTGGTAGGACCATGGGAATGCTGTAAATACAGATTTCAGACAAATATCTGACAACATACTCCTTAAGCTAACCCGTGAACAAGCTAGAGAGACCTTGGCCAGACGACAGCACAGTTAAATGAATTTGGAACTTGTTGATTAACAAGCCCAAAGAAAAGTCATTGATGAGCTAATGTCAAATCCTGGAGGGAGGTCTCTTCTAGTGAAGTGCCCCAGAGAGCTGTTCCTGGCACTTTTATTCAACATTTATCAATAACTTAGATGAAGGCAGAGATTGTATACTGATAAAGTTTGAAGATGACAGAAAACTAGAAGGAATAAAAACATGCTGGATGCAGTCAGGATTCAAAAAGATCTCAAAAGAAGTAAGTAAGGACCCCCATTGAATAAGATGAAATTTAATAGCAAGAAAGAGTAAGTAAATGAGATTTTAGGCTATATTAAGATAGGCCCAATATCCAGTATCCAGAAGGTGACACCCCCACCTGGCCCTTTCTGGAATAGTGTGTTCAGTTTTTTGTTTTTGAAAAGTAGAATGCCCAAAGGGGAGAAACTAGGATGGTGAAGGGCCTGGAGACCATGTCATAAAAAGAAAATGGGAATGATTAGACCACAAGATAAAATTCACGGTATGATCAAAAGAGGATACAACAGGATTTACTGAGAAGTCATTTTTTCGTGTCCGACTCTCCAAGATTCCATTTGGGGTTTTCTTGGCAGAGATACTAGAGTGGTTTGCCATTTTCTTCTCCAGTTCATTTCACAGATGAGGAACTGATGCAAACAGGGTTAAGTGACCTGTCCAAGGTCACACAGCTAGAAAGTATCTGAAGCCACATTTGAACTCCGGAAGAGGAGTCTTCCTGACTCAGCTGTCTTTAAATATATGTTATCTACAAGATCACAACATGGAAGAAGGATCAGATGTGTCCACCTTTACACCAGAGTAGCAGAACTAAAGCACGAGGGGTGGAAGTTACAGAAAGACAAATGTAGCGTGACCTAAGAAATGTGGATGGCTCAGGAGCTAGTGGCAAAGCTGGAAGTCCAATTGTTGGGGGGATGTAGGATATAGGTTGGACTAGATGGCTTCTGAGATCCCCTTCAATTAAGTGACCTTGCCATGGGAGATTACACTGTCTCTGCAGTCCTTTCTCTGACTGGTCAGTACTTCCCAGCAGCTCCATTTCAAGGAAAATGCCCAGGCCAGTTATTTTCACTCCTTTTATTTCTCCCTGAGCTCCATTCTTGGTTCTCTTCTTTCTCCAGCATACAGGCTCACCCTTTCCCCTCCCAGATTTTTAACTTCTTTTTACGTGTTATGTTCTCCCACAAGCTCCACATCTTTATTTTTGCTTGTATTTATATTCTCAGGGCTTAGCACAGCACCTGCCACATATTAAGTACTTAATCAACACTTGTTGACCTTCCATACTAACCTGAGGCCCAGACCTAAGAGCATCCCTTTAACCTGAAACTGAGGACTCGGAAAGACAGAAAGAGAAAGTCTCAGATTGCTGGAAAAGGACTTATTATACTGTCACTTAAAAGAGGTGACTCACCTGGATATTAAACTGGAGAACTAACTACCTGGCTCAGATGGGAGAGCTGAAGACTGACAATTTGGGCAGGTCAGTGTATCCTCCATCATCTAGGACTACTCTTCGGGGTACACTTTACTATCTATCTCCTGAGAGGACAGATGGCAGGATGCATGATGAAAAGGTGGACCTATTGAATCTTAGAGCTTTGTGCTATGAATTTCTGGTTAGTCTCTTTTTTAAGCAGAAACACATCATGAAACTTTGAGAAGCATTTCAAGGGTTGAATATTAATTCTTTGAATTTGTTAATAGAAGGTGCTAAGGAATTAATTTTTTAAGCTTTTGAAACACAATCCTCATCACAGGCTGATTCTAAAGGAACTCCTTGAACACCCTTGAATCCTAACAAATTTTTCAAAACCATTAACCAGCTGAAAAAGCAAAGAATCAAGCTGCACAAGATCATAAGATTCTTGCCTTATAGGAAATTTGAGCCAGGGTTACTACATAACCAACCAAACAATATTATTGAAATCGGATGTAGTTTTGAGGAACTGCCTTCTTTGTGCCTGGGCTGGTGGAAGAAGGGGAAATATTAACTCGAGTGGCCAATAGCTTAACCTGCCTGAGTTGTAATCTTCAATGCCCGGAGTAAGTCAGAAAACTTATGTACACATCATTTCAAAGGTAAACATCATTCCAAATTAAGACAGTTCAAGGAATAAAAGTGATCACAAATTCTTATTGCTTAATTATGGACTCAATACCCTGATGCAGGCTGTAACAAGGGAGATCCCAAAGAACAGGCACAATGTCAAATTCGCTGTTGAACAGCAGTAACCCTCACTGTGGGGTCTTTTTAAGGATAGATCAATAACTTCCCCATACTCTCTCAATGTCTTGTTTGATTAAGAAATTTGTTAGGCTGTTGAAGATATCAAATATGTGAAACTGGTAAATCTCTATGAATGCTAATTTTCTTTTCTAGACTATTTAAGTGGACTATGGTTGCTCAGGTATGTGCACTAAGTTCAACATTAATTAACATGATAAGCCCCCAGAAGGAAAGGTGGCTTACACACCAAGGTGCAAAAGCTGGGGCGAGTCAGTACAGATCAGAAATGGAATAGGTCAGAGCTTCTTTGTAAACTAAAACTATGCAAACTGGACCTGTGAATGGCTTCTGTATTTCCCGTCTGGGCAAGATAGGCAGACCCAGTCTTTTTTTTTTTTTCTTTTTAAGTGTATTCTTTGTACGTGATGTAAAAGAATGGAAGAACAAGGATTTAGGAAGGACCTCTGTAGTGGAAGCAGTACCCTCTTTGTAATGCTCGAGAGGTAAATGTAAATTTTAAGGGTTTGGTACATTTATTAGAACTAAATAGACCCTAGAAATTACTCAGGATTGAGGACTAGTAGCAACTGTCACCCATATATATGTTAAGGGTAATGTCTGTGGCAAAGAAAAACTACTGAGACTTTAATGAAGCAATTCATGAAGGAATTGTTTTGTTTTGTTTTAATAAGTACAAAGGAATAATTTGCTTAAATATTACCTTTTACCATGACTTTAAGTTTTTATAGAAATAATGACTGACCCTTGAGGTAAATAAATGAATTTCAAGAGAAAGAGACAGACAGAAAGGCTCAGACTGAGAAGAGGACAGAAAATTTGAGCAATTGCTACCCAAGGCTTACCTGCAGTTTTGAGATCTCCTTCTTTATCAGAAAGCTGACTTGATCCCGATCATTCCTGGAGTAATAGAGGCGGCACCAAGAGGGCTGTCCATCCCTCCCAGCTCGTCCAGACTCTTGGTAATACCCAGCCATTGACTTGGCGATATTCCAGTGGGCAACAAATCTTCAGGACCCAGAATAAAAACCAATGGAGAAATGAAGAGTTGAGAAGAGGCGTGATCCAACCTTGTGATTGGTCTCCCCTGCTTCAAGTCTCTCCTCACTCCAATCAGCCCTCCACTCAGCTGCTACCCTGACTTTCCTAAAGCACAGACCTAATGGTGTGCCTCCTTGTTACCCCTAGCATAAAATGGAAAATGCTGTTTGGCATTTAAAACCCTTCACATCCTGGATCCTTCTATCTTTCCAGTATGTTATACTTTGTTCTTCTCCATGAACTTTTAAATACAGCCACACCTCCTTACTAGCTATTCTTTGAACATGACAGTCCCTGTCCCCTTTCTGTGCCTTTGCACCGACTGTGATCCCCATGCCTGGAATGCTCTCCCTCCTGGTTTCTTTCAGGACTCAGAAGACTCAAGTCACACCCTACCTTCTGCAGGAGCCCTTTCCCAGTGGTCCTCCCCAGTGCTATTGCTTTCCCTCTAAGATCACCTTCTGTTTACACAGTATAAATCTTGTATATAGTTACTTTCATGTTGTCTCTCTCATTAAAATAGGAGCTCTTTGAGGGCAGAGACCAGATAGGATAGAAGGGTGTATGTAATATAAGACAGGGTAAAGGTCTTGGGGCAAGGAAAGAATAAGTGCCTATCAGCAGATTTCAGTGCCCTATAGCAGCCTAACCCAGAGTACACAAGAGCCATTCATCTGGGAACTTTAAGAACTCCAGTGCACATACGGGAACAAAAAGTCAAGATACTAACTCCTTTTAGCCTTCAGACCAAAATGTTTCCCAATAGTTAGGTCCATGGCTGGGAGTCAACTATTACTAAGAACTATTTTCAAATGTAGACTTAAGAAAGCTAACATTTACCCTATAACTCTCTGGGTCATCAGTAAATAGGAAAGAGAAGATAATAAATTCTTTACTCCCAACTCCTCTGAAGTACTATTCAATTACTTAATGTCACCAATATCTAACTGCCTGCCTTTCTAGCCATTTAGCAGAACTGTATCAACAAAGAGTGAGTGGCATGTGGGGGGAAGAATTACATAAGAGAGTACACAGTATCTATGCATAGTTACATTGGGTTGAGTGTTCTACCCTTCTCTGGTGAGCAGGTGAGTCCTGCCTTCTCTATTCAATAACAATATAGTATTTCAAGTGGCTCAGTGGAAAACAGCAGACCCCTTTGAACCCCCTAAGGAGCTGCCCCTCTTTCTGATACTAGAGGGAGAACACCAGTCAGCTCCTTTGGGTAAGATACTACATGGCCAGTCCTTGGACAGTCCCATAGGACTCACCCAACCATTTAAGCCAGAATAACTGCCCACCTGACATTTGCTTTGTCCACTCCCATCCCGAAACTGATGGTTGCAACAATGATAGGAACCTTCTCCTCCATCCACTCATTTTGCACTAACATTCTGTCCTCAGCCTTGAGCCCTGCAGAAGGACCAAAGGAAAGTGAAGAGTTTTGAAAGAAGGAGCAAGAAGTTCTTGGGGTGCCTCTTGAAGTTCCCATACCCTATCGGTGTCCCAGAGATTCCGAACCAGCTGCTATCACAGGGGACGCAGAGGACAGTATGAAAATTATACCCACAAATCTCATTTTAAACCTTACTTCAACCCCAGGTCCTTCCTTCTGAGGCTTTAAGGCCAGTTCTCTGGCTCTTTCTGAAGGCAAAAAGATACGACATATGACTTGACTACCAGGAGGCAGGGAGAACCAGGTGGCTTCCATTAAGGGGGTTCTGAAAATGCAAAGGATCAGTCTTTGTGCCCCATACCTGCATGATAAGCCTTGGCTTTTACACCCCTGGAGTTGAGCTCTGTTGCCACCTGTTCACAGGCCTCTCGTGTCCTGCAGTACACGATGCCACAGCCAGGAAAAGCCTGCATGAGATAGAGACCAAGTTGTAATCGGCATTAAAAGGAACATAATGACCATGGCCACCATGGGCTTTTCCTCTTGATAGTTTCTACAATCTCTTCAGGGCTATATGCGCAGGCAAGGACTCAACACTAACAGGGACCGTTCTGATTTATGATGCAACAGGAGAAAAAAAAAAAAGTTGAGCCCAACCCTTTTAATTCCACTATCTCATTCTATGATTTAAAAAATCATTCAGATTTTCAAAGTTCCAACACAGCAGTATGGTCTACTGGTTTACCCTTCAAGGGAGAATCTAGGATAAAGAGAATCAGGACAAAGGAAAACTCCAGAAAACAAAAATTCATTAGTTCTATAAGTTTTTAAGAAACTATCGCCACTGCCAGCCAAGAAAGCTAGAGAGGAAACCAGCCTTAGGAAACCAACTTTAATCTGTGTAATCCAGAGTGCAGGAACTATAGGTCGCATCCCAAAGATCTGGTAGTTTCCACATATCCTGTTCTCAACAATCATTTACCTCTTTGTCATTTTTCCGTCCAAGTGCCTTTAGGCAGAATTCCTTGAGGTTTCCATAGGGATCACCAAGCAGGTCCTTGAACTGCACATCATAGAAGAGGTTGGCCCGGAAACAGGGTGTCTTAAAGATGGCAACTGGCTGTCGCAACTTCAAAGCAGTGACCACATCCTCCTGAACTTGCTGGGTAGCCGTGGCTGTCAAAGCCACACAAGGGGCATGGGGTATTCGTTTCCTCAGTGCACCAAGCCGGAGGTAATCAGGTCGGAAGTCATGCCCCCATTGGGAGACACAATGAGCCTCATCTACCACCAGGTAGGAGAGAAGGTGTCGGGACACCAACGAGTTCAGAATGGGTTGAAAGGAGGCAGAGGCTGCCATTTCAGGAGTGATATATAAGAGTTTAGTCTGTGGCTTCTCTTTCTCCAGGTCCATTAGAATTTTCTTTCTCTCCTGAGCAGATAATTTGGAGTTCAGAGAGCATACATGAACTTTCAGGGCCAACAAGTGATCTACCTGGTCCTGAATAAAGAGAAAGGCAAATTCTGCTTTTAGAACTCAAATACCTCACATAAATCCCCAAGGGCATTCCCCAGCTCTAATCAGCCCTTCCAGTCTATAAGACACTCCTACTTTATTAAAGGATACAAGTTTTCCCTCTTACCACTCATACCCAATTGGTTGTGCTCATGACTCAAACTTTGTAAAAGGCAAAAAACACATTACTCTTATGGTGTTAATATTCTGATGCCCTTTCTAAAGTGACCAAGATCGGAATGGGAGAAAAACTCAGGAAGTATGGCTGTAGGAAAGGTCAAGGGTTGAGTAGGGTGAAGGAACAGCACAAAGCCACATGGGTTCACCTTCCATACTAGGCAGAGACTCCTCTTCATTCCAGAAATGGCCCATCCCACATGCAGATAAGCAAGATGATCAGTAAACAGAAGACAGAAAAGCTCAGGCTTTTCAAGATCTAACCGAAATGCCTCCTTCTAGCATCCTAGACCAAGCAATGAGCAACAGAGGATCCTAGCTCAGTGTACCACTATCACATATTCAAAGAAAGCTGGAAAGTGAGCTAAGAGATGGCTAAGGGGAAATAAAAGTAAAGGATACACCCTTAGTTCTATACATGGAGCTCAGCACCATCTCATGATGCCACCTTTCTACCATATCTATTCTCCACACATGAAAATGGGAACTTTCAAGTATGATGCAGAATTTTTTTTCTTTGAATTTTCATTTTTTATTGTGAACTTAAGCATGAACATAATCATTTCGTTTGTTTGTTTGTTTAGGCAATTGGGGTTAAGTGACTTGCCCAGGGTCACACAGCTAGTTAAGTGTCAAGTGTTTGGTCTGAGGCTGGATTTGAACTCAGGTCCTCCTGACTTTAGGGCCAGTGCTCTATCCACTGCGCCACCTAGCTGCCCCCCATAATCATTTCAAGATACACAGAACAGGGAAAAGGATCATTTAGGAAACAATTTATGTTGCAAACAGTGGCTTAAAAAAAAAGTAGTTATAAAATTCAGTTTAGTCATTTTTTTTCAGTTGTGTGCGACTCTTCAAGACCCCATTTGGGGTCTTCTTGGCAAAGATACTCAAATGGTTTGCCATGTCTTTCTCCAATTCATTTTGCAGATGAGGAAACTGAGGCAAACAAGGTTAAGTGACTTGCCTAGGATCACCAAGCTAGTAAGTGTCTGAGATAGGAATTGAACTCATGAAGATAAGTCTTCTTGACTCCAGGCTACCACTCTATCTGCTGCACAGTCACCTGATTCACCTTCCTGAGTTCCAATTTGGTCTCAGACACTGACTGTGTGACTCTGGGCAAGTCACTTAACCCAGTTTGCCTCAGTTTCCTCATCTGTAAAATAAGCTGAAGAAGGAAATGACAAACCACTCCAGTATCTTTGCCAAGAAAATCCCAAATGGGGTCACGAAGAGTCAGACACAACTGACAAACGACTGAACAAAAAATTATTTTATTTGTATTCCCTTTTGCCTTTCCCCTCCACTCCCATCTATTCATTTTTTAAAAATGTTTTATCTACGCTCTTTTTCTTCATGTCTATCACCATCAGTGTACTAAGTCACATTCCCTTCCCTTGGAAGAATACAAACAAAAGCAAACAAAATAAACCAAGACATGGCCATGTCAGGGATGCATGTTTTGTTCTGTCCTTCTATCTAGAGAAGTCTATTACTTCTCTGCCAAGAGGTGAAAAGTTTGTTTCATCTTCATTTTGAAGGAGGAAAAGTTCCTCAAGAAGGGAAATTGAAGGTTAACTGCCCTAATTAGCCCATTTGAGTTGTGAATAGTCAAAACACTCAAATAGATGGAGACAACACCCTAAGCCAGCATTTTCCAACTTTTTTTTTGGCGAGGCAATTGGGATTAAGTGACTTGCCCAGGGTCACAAGTTAGTTAAATGTCAAGTGTCTGGTCTGAGACCAGATTTGAACTTAGGCCCTCCTGACTCCAGGGCCAGAGATCTACCTACTGTGCCCCCCAACTTTTTTTTCTGTGACACACCTGGGACCTTACCAGGGTCCTGACAACACCAAAGGCTTTTTCCACCCATTCTCCCCATCCCTAACCAATCTCAAGCATCCTATTTCTTCTCTTTATCATTACTACCTAATTTGCCTGCTCAAAAATTGACTATGGAAAGCAAGGAAACATAACATTGTTGAAATACATCAAAATACCTTCATGACACATCTAAGTCTGATGATATACCAGCTGCACAAACTGTACTCGAATCCTTGGTCTGCAAAAACTGATAACCACTAATACAGATAGCAAGCCAGGCAAATCAGAGAAAGCAAGAAGGCGAAACCAAAAAAAGGAAATGAAACTTCCACCTGGACAATCTTCCCCTTTTTTGGTTTCTTTACGCCATTACCCGAAGTCTCACCTGAATCAGGGCAATAAGAGGAGAGATCACAATGGTGATACCTGCTGCCAGTAGTGCAGGAAGCTGATAGCACAAGGATTTCCCTGCCCCTGTGGGCATGCACACGAACACATCCTTCTCACCTGTGAAAACAATAGTCTTTTACCATTTGGGGACGGGAACTCCTTGAGGACAATATCAGGGGACTCTATGGTCTGGCAGCACTGAAACATTTTCATAAGGAATAACAGTAATACCTGACAATTATATAGCTGCTCTAAAGGTTTGCTTTCCATCTCATATCTCATTGGGAGGTAGTACTAAGTTTTCTTAAGACAACTCTTTGAAGCTTGAGCAAAAATTACTATCTCTCTCTTATAGTTAAGTAAACCTAGGCTCTGAGAGATTGTATCCCCATAACCTTTCTGATACTAACAGAAACTGAGACAGAAAAGTCCAAATAGTTATGGATGGCTGGATAAAACATTCATTAAAGTAAAAAAGGAAGGTGAAAAAGGATTGGGCAGTGTTGGCATGGGGATGCCTAACTGTGATAGCCTCCTCTGGGGTAGCATCTTTCATTTCCAAATGCATCAATATTAATTCTTCTGCTTTGCACTTAACAAGGTCCATTTATTTAAAGACTTAACTCACGATATCCACTATACATCATTTCAGAAGTTAGCACTATTATTCCCTCCTTTCCCTTTTCGGGGGAGCTTGATCTTATGATGCTTGAGAGGCAACCCAGCAAGTTAGTAACTGAAACTAGTCATTCTAGCCCCTAATTTACAAAACTAAAACAAAACCAAAAACAAACAGTGGGAGAACAGCTGCTTTTGGGTTCACTCGGGATGCTACTACAAGATGTATGAACCAGGTCACTTGCTGTGGCTATGTTATCTAGGATCTATGCTAAGAAGACAGGTTTACTTTCCAGAATTAGAGGCATTAAATTGGGAGGAAAGGGAGAATTCACTGCAGGGAAGAAGCACTGTTAGCACAACCTCAAAGGATGGTATCCCTGAGGTTTCACCAAGGTTTGTAGTATGTTACCTTTAACCACTGCCATGGTGGCACTCTCCTGCAAGGTGGTCTTAAATGAGTCAAATCCAAAGATCTTCTTAAGTGTGCTCCTGACACGTGGCTCAGGACCAGAGGAGAGAGAAGAATAAGGGCAGGCACTCATCTTAGAGAGACAGGTGGCCAAATGTTAAGGCAAAAATGAAAACAGAATGATTACGTGAGAACTCCTCTCTAGTTATACTCTACTTTTCTCTTCATTACGGCAACAATCCCAAACTACACTTTCCTGGATAACCAGCATTTCTTCCACTCTTACCTTCTTAGGAAAACTCAATCACAAAAGTAAAAATTCAACCCACCTTTCTCCCTCACGTCATGTTCTCTAAGCACAAAGCAAAAAAAAAAAAATCAGACACACAAATCTTTAATGATTAGCCCTGAGGACTGGGGATAGTTTGTTCAGGGTTCTCTCTGGCAGGGTCTGGTAGTCCCCACTCCTACTGTTAGAAGATAGGTGCTAAGAGCAGTCACAAGCACAGCCCAAAAGGCTATCCATCCATGTAACAGATTAGGAAACCGTCTAGACCTTCACATCTTTCTTATCCCCCAGATGGCCCCTCCCCTTTTCCCTTCAACCACACTTCTAATTACATCTTCCTTATCTCACACCCTGCCTCTAACTCCTCTCAACCCAGGACCCCAGCTCTCCTTCCTCCAAAACCCTGGCCCCTTTATTCCGTACCATCCTCTCTACCCTTGACCCCATTCCTCATTCACCCAGCACCCTGATCACTCTCCTCCAACTTCTCCTTCATCTCACTTTTCTCCTCTGAACCTTGCCCTCCCCTCCTTACATAAACACACACATAAAGGCACAGGCACAGGCATATACTTTTCCTGTGCTCAGGCCTCAACTTCTCTGCTTTCGAAAGGCATTTTCTCCCCAGCACACACACACACACACACACCCCTTCTGCTCCCCTCCTTTCTAAAGGCATCTCCTCCCAAGCGCGCGCGCGCACACACACACACACACACACACACACACACACACACACACACACACACACACACTCCTCTCACTTTTTCTCTGCTCCCCTCCTTTCTAAATGCATCCCAGCGCCCTACTCTTTGTGCCCCCAGCCCAGGATATGGGTGCGGGCAGGGTCCCGCTGCAGACCGCGAGCCCCCAACCTGGGAGCTCTTATCGAAGCCCCGGGAGTCCCGCGGCCTAGAGACCTCAGAAGTCCCAAACGAGCCAATCTCCTTCTGGTTCACACCGCTCCCTGACTCAGACCCACGCACAATTCCCACGTCGCACGATGATGGCGTCACGGGGCCGCTGTTGGGGGGGGGAGGGTGGGCCGGGTTAAGGTGGGGGCGGGAACAGGAAGGAGTTCGCTTTTTTGATTGGCTTCTTGTCCCAGACAAAAGGTCAGGGAGGGAGGAAGTGAGGGTGTCGTTGGGCTTCCGGTAGGAAGAGCGCGCTGCCTAGAAATAGGGAAAACGGCGTCATAGCGTCATTCGGGAGCGCCGGCGCCGGGAAGGAGGAAGATGGCTGGCAAGAAGAACGTTCTGTCGTCGCTGGCGGTTTACGCAGAGGATTCGGAGCCCGAGTCGGACAGCGAGGCTGGAGTGGAAACTACTGGGAGCGCGACCGCAGCGGGTAAGGCTTGGGGCGGGCACGTAGCTCGGACCCGAGCCCGCCACCGAGGTAGAAAAGGAAGGGAAAGAAAAAGTAGGGGGCTGGTGGGGAAGGAGGCGGAGCCTTGCCTCCTGCGCCCGCAGAACCCGGCCCCTGAGAACCAAGGCCGAACCCCCACCTGCGAGAATAGGAGTGAGGCGCCCAGGGCGGCGGGTTTAGTCTCCCAGGGCCTCAGTTTCCCCATCTGGCACATGAGGGGTTTGGGCTCTAACATTGGATGGTTCTAGCTTTGCCAGGCATCTGGGGTTAAGGAAGACACATGATGGACACTATGATTTCATTCCCATGCCCATCTCTTTAAAGTGAGAACCTTAAAAAAGTGACATGGGTTTCTGATGATTCGTTAAAACTTACCCCATTTGTGACTAGATAACTCCTGCCAAAGTCACTCAGGACCCAGAATTAAGAAGGTAGTTTTTGGCTTAGTCTGCTTATTAATCTTGTTCCCTCAACTAAATTATAAACTTTAGGATAGATTCTGGGCTTTTAACTATTTCTACTAGGATGGTGTGACTAGGAATGAGACTTAGGCACCAGTTTCCCTTTATTTGCAGAGATGGTTCCAGCCACTCACATCACTGGTAGTAGTATTTATACTCTCCGCATCCCCACTCATTTTTCTTTCTTCCTCTGGGTTAGAGGAAAAAGGTGGCTTAGTGTCTGAAGCCTATGGAGATGATGATTTTTCTCGACTTGAGGGAGATGAAGATGGTTATGAGGAAGAAGATGAAGAAAACAGCAGACAGTCGGTAGGTATCTCTGTTCTGTAATCCAAAGCTGCCCAAAGCCATCACCTTCTGTTCACTGGAAACTCCTTTTCTAAGATGGACCCATAGCACTTCCTTTTTCTCATGGCTAAGCTGCTCCTTAAAGCTTGTCTCCACCCCCCCACCCCCCAGTTAGATGAAGATACTGGGTTAAATTTCAGTGGTGGAATTGGTTGTGTTCCACCCCCATTCCATTTGGGCTTAACTTTTAGTCAAACTTGTTAGAAAAGAAAAGGGGAGATCCAAATGGAACAGACAAGACCACTGTATTCAACCCAGTAATCTAGTGTTAGGTTAGTCTTCACTTTTTATACAATCCATTCCATTTCCAATAGTGCTTCAGTTTCTGTCATCATGATACTCTGTCTCTGAAGTCAACTCTTTATTATCTTTCTATTCCTAGGGACTTATAATTTTCAAGTTTGCAGAGATTATTTCATTTGATCCTTATCACATATCTCTGAGGCAGCTGCTTTTATTGCCCCAACTTTACAGATGAGGAGACAAAGGCTGGAGGAGGTTGTGACTTCTTCAGATCACATAGCTATTAAGTTTTGGAGTTGGGATTTTAACCTAGGTCTCTCTGACTCCCAAGTCCACTGCTGTTTCCACTGTGCCTAGCATTCAAATCAAATCTTTAATTTCTAATTTAAAAACCTCGGAAGGGAAGTATTTTATTTCCAAATACTTGAATTTACTACCTTATCTGTTGAACTGCCCTATTGACAGTTTGCTTAGTAACTTTGTTGACATCACCTTTTTGACCCTTACTCTTACTTGAACCTGAAGCACAATCAGAACTGGAAATTAAAGAAGTTTGACATTCTCTCTCTAACTCAGCTATAACAAAACAACTCTAGAGTAATATGAGCCAGACTGACAGGATGAGTGAGTAAACACTTAAACCTCAGGCTATTGAATGGAAAGCTACCTAGTTACCTAGCCTGAACCTCTCCACCAATAACAGTCCCTCCCCCTACTATGTGCCCCACAGCTAAATAAAGAGGAGAGCAGTTGAGTCATAAACAGGATGGAAATCTGTCCATCTTTACTAGCTTCTGAATTGGGTATTCACAGGACTGTATTTTGAATAGTAATATGAATTGGGCCAGCTCGGAGGTATAATGGACAGAGCACTGGTTCTGTAGTCAATAAGATCTGAGTTCAAGTGCGGCCTCAGATACTTATTAGATTTGTGACCCCTATTTGCCTCAATTCCTGGTCTGTAAAGTGGGAACACACTGGAGAAGGAAAGGGCAAACCACTCCAGTATCTTTGTCAAGAAAACCCCATGGACTTAACAAAGAGTGGGACACTATTAAAGGACTGAACAACAACAGATATGAATAGCTAGAATGTTAGATATGTCAGTAAAATGCTAATATAAAAATTACTTCTAAGCCAAATAAAAAAAGGAAATTTGCATTATCTGCTGCATTTGGCTCTCCCCTTCAAATTCTTTCCTTTTTCCCATTTGTCCTGATAATCAAGAGTTGTCTGTAGTTGTAAAGTGCTGCATGTTGTTTTCTACTCTCCTCAAGTAGGTATTTGCTTAACTAACAGCTATTTTGTAATCATTGTACCATATTCATTTGCTTGTAGTTTTCTTTTTGTTTTTGCCGGTAAAAGCCAATCATTTTTCTGGTCTGAACATGGACATTACCGGATGTAATTGTATTTGGATATGTATCTCCAATAGACATGATTTTTTTTTAAATAAAAAAAGCTCCTGGAGATTGGTGCTATGCCATCTATTTTTAAGTATTTGTATTAAAGTAAAATCCCTTTGTTTATAGGCATCTTAAAGACCAGTTGGCAAATGTTAATGAGAGTTTAGTTTGTTAAAGTCCTCTTGTGTAGTATTTGTCTCAACACCCGGGTTATTGTCTTTGTCTAAGATTTTTTGCAAAGTGTGGCTCTGACTGAAGAAAGCAAGTTTAGGGGAAGCCTTGTGGATTTTGTCCAAGCATTTAGCTGGTATTCTTTGCTATGTGTGCTGGGAGCATCCTCTTTTTGGTGGGAATTGAAGCAGCCACTGTGCTGACCCAAGAGGTGTATTGTGTGTTGTTACTGATCTATGAAAACCATATCACTGGCTGAGCCCTTGGATGTATGTCTGACAACTGGTCACTTTGTATTTGTGTTATTGGTACATGCTTGGAACTGTGTCCTGCCTACATGGCTGTTTCTGTATGGTTCTTCTCTTGTGGAACAAAACTAAGTAGGTTGAATCAGTGATGGACCTATGTAGAAAGGAGAGCGATCACCAAACAAGGAGGCAGGAGATTGGGGTGTGAACTTTTGGTTCTGCCGTTGATTGTTGATGTAACATAGCCATTCTATGCCTCAGACTTCCTGCATCTTGTGTTGCTGTTTTTTTAGTTGATTGAGGTGTTGGAATTTAACTGTATGTGGATCCCACGACAATTTTGCAATGAAAGATGTTATGGTAGGCCCAAGTTGAATGTATTTTTGTAAGAACTAGGACACAAAATTATAAGTAGCTTCTTGAACTTTTAGAAATAATTTAAGTTTCCTAGATAATTCAAAGCTAGTTTTACTTAGTGGGCCAGGTTTTGTGCCTTTCCAAAGCATCTTTCAGCTTCTCTTCATTTTATGTATGTAGTTTTGAATCTCTTGGGTGTTTCTATGGTAACATGGACTTACATCTCTGAGCTATCTCTGTGGGCCTTCAGATACTGATGTTCTTATTTTTGAGTATCTCTCTGTCTTCTCTTCTTTATTTAGCTTTGGGTCATGTAGTAGGGGAGGGACAGTTATTGGTGGGGAGACTCAGGCTGGGTAACTGGGCTGCTCACCTCCAGCCCCTTGTTATGCATGTGGGAACCACCAGGCCCGCTCTTTTAAGCTTAATCCTGTAAATTCTTGTCTTGTAGGAAGATGACGATTCAGAGACTGAAAAACCTGAGGCTGATGACCTAAAGGTATTTGGTGTTTGCTGTGGCGGGGTGGCTGGATATAAACAAAGCTAACATTATGGCTCAGTGTCTGAGCAGTGTTTTGCCCCACTAACATATACAGTAGAAGGACTTATAAATACTTTGGGACAAAATTGGTTTAACTTGTTTGGTAAGAACACTAGTTCCACCTAGGGGCCAAGAATAAGCCTTGGAACAATTTGGACTTCCAGCCTTGGCTTCTGAATCAGAGTTGAATAGCACAGAGCTTAGAGAGTTCCAGTCTTAGTCCAGCAAACCATCCCGAAATATGCTCTCCTTGGGGTTTGTGGCCATAGAATAGGGCAAAAGTTATCTAGTGGTTAAGTTATCTGCCAGGGAGCATATTTCTAGGATCCCTTATAAAGATGATAACTCTAGGTTGTGTATCCTCTGTGTTCAGCAGCTTGGCGTTGGCTAAGAGTCACATATCAAAATTCTTAGACACCAAAGAGAAGCCTGCAGAAAATAGCTTACAGAAGTGTTTAACCTTAAACTGTGGAGTAAATCAGCTATCCTTTATCACCACTTTATCAGCTTATTAATTAACTTGTTAGCTGGCTGGCTTAGAAGTTCCAAAAACAATCTTCAGAAATATCTGCTTGTTACAAAGTGATCTTGGTTTTCTTCATAACCCAACCTTCATATAGGATGTCTGGCCAAACACTAAAAGAGAATATGCAAACCAAAGAGATTTTATCACTCCTCTGTACCAGATGCAAAGTATAAATCCTGCTAGTACTACTTCTGAGAAATGCTTTTAAACCTCCACCTTGTGGAATATTCTCTTGAAAGCATAACTGTTTCATCACACTTTATCTTTTCCCACTGAAATCATTCATAACACCAGAAACTTTTCTCCTCTTAGAACTCTTTAGATTCTCTTGCTGGGATTCATTTGACTTTTTATTGGATAAGGATATTCTGAGTATTAGCAAAAGGGAACTTGTGAGGAGAAACATTCTTTTGTCAATCAGTATACAAACATTTATTAAGTGCTTACTGTATGCCAGGTACTGTGGCTCATACCTGGGATAAAGAGAAAGGCAAAAGCAATCCCTGCCCCAAAGGAGCTCACATTCAAATGTGGAAGACAACATGTAGATAACTGGGTACATAGATTTACACATGTAACTAGATACATGAGATTCATCTTGAAGGCAGTGAGGAAGGAGTGTATATTAGGCATATGGGACAACCATTGAAAAGGTGTGGAGTCAGCAGGCAGTTAGAGTGTCAAGTATAAGGAACAGCAAGAAAGCTAGGATTGCTATATTGTATGTAGAGTGAATAGAAGGTAGAGAAATATAAGGAGACTGGGAGGGTGGATGAATGCCAGATTGTTAAGAGCTTTAAATATCAAATAGGATTTATATTTGATTCTGGAAGTAATAGTTACTAGAGCTGAATAGTGTCAAATGAGATAATGTTTGCAAAATACTTAGCATGATGCCTGGTACATAATAGGCACTTAATAAATGTTTCTTTCTCTCCCCCCTCCTTCATGGATCATAGAAGTGATGTGGTAAGATCTGTATTTTAGGGAAATCAGTTTGGCAGCTAATTAATTGGAGTAGGGAGAAACTTGAGGTAGGAAGACCACTTAGAAGGCTATTGTAATGGTCCAGCTGAGAGCTGACAAGGGCCTTAACTTGGTTAGTGGTTTTGTGGTCAGAGAGGAATGTATGAGAGATGTTATGAAGGTAGAAATTATAACATTAGATAGGTGGGGTGAGTGAAAGTGAGGAATATAAGGATACCATCAAGGTTTTGGGACTGGGTTACAATGACAGTGGTGGTGCCCTGCAGTAACAGAGATTTAGGACAGGGAAAGATTTAGGGGGAAAGATAATGAGTTCTATTTTAGACTTGTTGAGCTTAAGACGCTTATTTTGAGTTATCAAGACAGTTGGTGATGCAGGACTTGAGCAAAGGTGGGAGGGGAGGGTTGGATATTTTGATCTGGGAATCATATGCATAGAAACAACTGAATTCATAGGAGCTGATGAGATCACTAAGTAAGATAGAGAGCCACGGGCTTTTAAACTTTCCTGTGTGTTGGACTCTTCTGGTAGCCGATGGACCCTTTTTTATAATGTTGATTTTTTTAAAAATTCACAATTAAAGAAAATGTTCAATTTTAGTTAGAGGTTAGTGAAAATAAAGATGTAATTTTTTTTTTCCATTCCAGTTGATAGCCACCCCCCCCAATCTATCCGTGGACCCAGATTAAGGACCCCAGTCTTAGAATCTTTACCTGTTATAGAGTGCAAAGAAAAGAGGGATCAGGACAGAGTCTTGGACATAACATAGGTGAAGATGCAGCAGAGGAGACTGAGAGGAGCAACTGGACAGATGGAGAACTGGAGAGAACAGAACAGTGTCACAAAAACCTTGGGAGGAGAGAGTGTCCAGGAGGATAAGGTGATCAACTGTGTGAAATAAGGATAAGGATTAAGAAAAGGCCATTAGATCAGGCAATTTAGAGATCATTGATAACTTTGGACAGGGCAGTTTTGTTGAATGATGAGGTTGGAAGCCCTCGTTGCTAGTGTGGATAGCTTTCTCAAAGTAGCTAAACTGCCACTGAAGAGAAGAGTGATACAGGACAATAGCTATTGGCGCTGGTAGAATCAAGCACAGATTAAGTAAGGATGGGGAAGGCGTGAGTGTGTTTGCAGGTCATAGGGAGAAAGTAAATAGAGGTTGAAGAGTAGAGAGTGAGGATGAAAGTAGGGGCAGTGATCTGCTGAGGAAAACTCAAAGAGATGGGATCAGGCTCATGTGGAAGGGTTGGCCTTGGGAAAGAGAAGGACCATTCCTTCACCCAGTATTGGAGTGAAGGAGGAGATAGTGGAAGAAAATGTCTGAATGCTGTGAGATGAGGAGAGAAGGAGGGAGAAGTCTTGCCAAGTAACAGTAATTTTTTTCAGTGAAGCATGAGGCAAAGTCCTCAGCTGAAAGGGTTCTCTAGGGGCAGCTTAAGAAACAGAAAGGGGATAGACTTTTTTTTTTCTCTCTCAAGGAAAAAGACTGCAGTTATCCCTTCCCTATCTCAGGAGTTTCCACAGTCTGGAAAATCCTGTAAAATTTTTTGGCCCTCCCTTTGTGACAGAGAAGTTTGAATTATTATGGTATTAAAAGATAAAATATGTTCATATTATACAATACTATACATATATTTTATGCATTTCTGAGTTTCTGAACTTTTTCTGTGTCGTCTACGGCTTCAGCAAAACTCCCATTTAATTTCTTATGTTGACCCACGATATATCGAAACCACAAAGGGGGAAGTCTCAATGTATAAGGCTATTTCCAATACTGCCAGAACGTGGGAGAACAGAGGCCCAAACTAGCTTAATCCTTTATAGCAGGGGTTCTTAATTTAGGGCCTGATAACTTGTTTTTAAAAAATATTTTGATGATTATATTTCAATATAATGTGTTTCCTTTATAATCCTATGTATTTTATGCATTTAAAAACATTACCCTGAGAAAGGGTCTGTAGGCTTGGGGTCCATAGGCTTCATCAGACTGCCAGAAGTGCCTATCATGCATGTAAAGTTAAATAAAATAACCCTGCTTTATAGTGATCTGCTGGGATCTAGGATAACTGTGCTAGCTCAGTCTCCCTAAAACATCCCACCTTTTGTGAGGAGCCCAGGTCAAGAAATACTCACTTAAAATGTTACTGAAGAGGATGGTACCAGAGCAGATGTGCATACTCAAGTCTCCCACAAGTCAGACTAGTCTGTGTGTTTGTTGCAGGATAAAGAAGAAAAGAGCCAACATTTCTTCTTCTGCCTTTGCAGGGAAGAAAAGGGCTCTACGGAGGCTGGGCTATGGCTTTAGAACAAGTTAAAACCCAAAGAAGACAATTATAATTCACTTTCACAATTTTTCAATTGCCTAACACTTGGGAAATACAGTTCTAGGTGAGAAGAATATGCAAAAATGAATTAGACTTGTCTTCTTCGTGAGCTTAGATGCCCATGGGACATCAGTTTGGAAACATCCTTTAAGACGGTGGTGATTCCAGAATGGAACTCCATTGACAAGTCTTTATTAATTTATTATCATTATTATTGTTGTTGATTTATTATTATCCTTTTTAATGAGGCAGTGGGGTGAAGTGACTTGTCCAGGATCACACAGCTAGTGTCTGAGGCCACCTTTGAACTCAGGTCCTCCTGACTCCAGGGCCAGTGCTCTATCCACTGCGCCACCTAGCTGACAAGGCCTATTCTCAGAGAGCTTACATTTTATCAGAGAGATGTGTACATAAGTCTATGAAGAGCAAAGATAGTGAAGGGAAGAATGTGAGGCCATAGCAAGGATGGATGGAATGGAATGACTGCGGGTTGTGTGAGGATAAATATTAGGTTTAGGAGAGAGGAAGCCCAGGGAGAAATGTGGACAGGAGGTTGTGGTCGGGGGAATTTCAGTTCTGAACTATGTAGGTGGATGATTTGATAAGATGGGATTTGTCAAATCTTTTTTTTTTTTTTTTTTTGAACAAATCAAAAATCTCTTCCTCTTATTCCCTCACCATTGAAAAAGAAAAACAACAAAATCCTGCAATGACCATGTCCGAAACACTTCTCCTTCTGCACTTCTCTGGAGTCCATCACTTCTAAGTCAGGAGATGGGCAGCATGCTTGGTAACATGGGGCTTGTGGAATCATGAATGGTCCTTGCCTTAACAGAATTCTTAAGACTTTCAAAATTGTTTCTACAGTGTTCTTGTAATTGTGTAAATTGTTCTCCTGGTTCCACTCATTTCACTCTGTATCATTTCACGTAAGTCTTACCAAGTTTCATTGAAACCATCCCTTCCTTCATTTCTTATGGAACGGTGGTATTCCATTGCATTCATATACCATAATTTTTTCATTCATTCCCCACCTAATTTATACTCCCTTAAATTTCTGGTTCTTTGCTGTTACAGAAAGAGCTGCTATAAATATTTTTGCCCCTATGAGTCCTTT